ATATGTTCTTCTTTAGAATTATGTTAATATATATGTAAAATGATTTATTTATAATATAAGCATATTTGAATCAGATACATCTTGCTCTACAAGCTGAGAGAAACTATCACTTATTGTAAAGTAATAATACATTTAAACTTAAAGTGAAAGCTTGGTTCCAATAATTAGTTATAGCTGACAAAGCATAAACAAGTCCTTGCTTAATGAATTATTTAATTCAGAAGCAGGCAACTTTGCTTAATTTCATCCCATCTGTGGTATGTGTTCTAAAATGATGTCTTTCATTTGGTCATGATTGTCCCTTGGCAATGAATGTCAACATATAAAATTGCATATGTGCTTGGAAAACAAACACAAAGTATCATAAATGCAACCATCTATTATGGTACACTGTAAAAATGACCACAATTCTTTGCAGCTACTCTATGAAAAGGCAGTGTACTTCCCCATCCCTCGCTCTCTTTCAAAGACTTTAAAGCTCTGAGCCTCTGCACAGTCCCCACTGCTGGAGTGCCCTTGTCCACCCCCACTAAACTGCTGGTCCTCCCTTATGACCAGCTTAAACATTACTTTCTCTTTGTGGCTTCTCCTAGACTAGGAGCCACTTCCTATACCACGGTGGCTGTTCATGACAACCCCCTTAAAACCCCTATTAAAATAATTATTTATTTTTGTGTGCTTCCTCCCTAGACCCGCAGGGGCAGATACTGTATCTTATGTTTACATAATCTGGCACACACAAGGCTTCCAAAGACACGCTTATGGAATGAAAGAAATCGAAGTTCACAGGACAGGATCTGGAGCCTCCCAGACCCAGGTGTGAAGTCCAACTTATCAGCTACTCAACCCTGGGCAGGTTCCCCTCTCTGATCCTATTCCTTTCCTGTAAAACGGGGATAACAGCACCCTCTTGCAAGGCTGTTTCAAGATTAGAGAGAATGTATGTCCAATTTCAACCTCCGTCCATGGCATAAAACTGGTTTTCACTAACTGGCAGCTATAATTCTCATGACCCTCTCTTTTGACTATTTTTCTAAAGTTGAAATAAGCTGTGATTTATTATGTGATATGTGTATTACTCATTGAACATATTATCATCTCTTATTCTTAAATGAAAACATTGTTGAGCTAGATTTTCTTTCTCTGTAATAGCAGCAGCAGTCTATCTGTAAGCTCTATCTTAGAACCAGCTCTTCTCAGGATAGTTGGCATACTTGAAAGAAAAGCATTCCTCTATGATATAAATAGAATATTTAATAAGCACTTATACAAGCTAAGCTTTTAGATAATTTACTACATAAGTTTAACAAACTCTTTGCAGGGCAGTTTCATAGAGCAGACAAGTGTATTCCAGGAGCCTATTGATGCAAAGGCAAAAGGAGAAAAGCCAGATTTTTAAAATTATTTTCCAGGGAACTTAGGATAGGTGTATGTTCTAAGCATGTGAGTTTTTAATAATGTCAACAAGCCAGTGGTAGGGAAGTAAGAAATACCATATAGCTTATATGGCACTGCTTTGTATTCTTTCCCATCTTATGCATTAAACCCTCATTATCTGGCTTACTGGCTTTGGTGTAATTGACAGAAAAGGCTCAGAAGACCTGGGTTCCAGTCCTGGAATGACCCCTAAGTAAGGTCACATCAGCTTTCTGAACCACATTTCTCTTTAAATAAAAAGTCTAGATCAGTGGTTCTCAACTTTCCTAATGCCCCGACCCTTTAATACAGTTCCTCATGTTGGGTGACGCCCAACCATAAAATTATTTTCGTTGCTACTTCATAACTGTAATTTTGCTACTGTTATGAATCGTAGTGTAAATATCTGATATGCAGGATGTATTCTCATTGTTACAAGACAGCCTACCAGTGGTATTGCCACATCCTCGTAGGGCAGCTTATCTTCTCGCCAAGCATCGTCAATCAAATCCAAGATCCTTCCATCTCTCTGTACTTCACTGTCCATCCTCCTGCAGCTCTGATCTTGTCAAATCTGTCAGTCAAAGAGGTTATTTCTAAAACACAGACTCAGGAGGTGATGTAATCCAGCACTAGGATCCCCAGGCTTCTTAGCCTGGATGTGTCGTCTGGCATAATAGGACCCTGGGAAAGACTTGTCTTCTCATCTGGGTCAGGTGACAACTTATTTATATGTAATCACAGTCCCTCCTTTCTGTTCCCCCTCCAGGTGGTAAATGCTTTGTAGTGTACACTGAACATAGGACATGGCCCAGACCAGTGTCATGTGACAGGAAGGCAATACATTTGAGGGCCTCTGTTATAAGGCCACGGCACATCTCGAATGCAGCTTTTCTTTCTCAACTGGCACATTCACCTTTCCCTTTCAGGATGCCTTTGGTGAGTCCCTGACTCATAAGCAAGTCTCCTCTCTGGTCCCTGCAGCGTTTCCTGCACCATTTTTACAAGAGTCACCACCTGCCTTGCCTCAAATGTTGGCATTCTTAGCCCAAGAAGCTAAATGATAACACTGAATTATACAAAGTGACCAACCAGACCTGACAGAAATCCTCAGCTGAGCTTCTAAATACATGGCCTCCTATCTTAAGGTGGTACTCAGGCTGGGCCCTGAAAGCAGCACCTCCAGGTGAGCACTAGTGGTAGGGCTCCATGCTGCTTGCTTTCCCATCCCTTTGGGGTGACTCTTAATGCTGCACGCCCTTCATTGCCTGGTCAAGATACTTACTTATCATGCTGATCTCCCCCCGCCCCCCTTTTACTTTTCCCTACACAGCTATCGCCAGCCTGGAAAGGTACCTCTGGGTTCCTTGTTTCCAAGCTTGGGCTATTCTTCATCACAGGCATCACCCTATTGTGCTCCCTGCTACAAAACAGCCATCCTGATGGCCTGCTGGTCAATGGCACCAAAGGTACTCGCAGTCACTCCCACCTCTAGGAGGATGAAAACTCATGCAAGAAACCATCTTTGGGAGAGGACTCCACCTCCTTCATTCATATAGGCCTGTGCTTGTCTCCAACAGTATGACTGCAAGATTGCCCTGACACGTGGAAAATAATTGTGCAGGTGGGACCAGGGGAAGGGTTTTTACCCCCATGATAAGGATCCAGACAAAACTGAAGCCCAGCTACTTCTGCACCAGTGAACCAGGTGAGGTCTTAATGTTTCCCACAAGAATTAATCCAGCATTACCCAGTAAATAACTTAAAACAAGGACCCATCTTTAGAGTATTTACACACAGGGGGTCCTTACCCTCAGTTCCAGTTATGTTTCTGGAGTCCCTGTCCTACAAGAGCCCCCCTTTTCCTGCTGCCACGCCTCTGACCTTGATGCCCTGGCCTCTGGGATACCCTCCTCCCTATTCTCTGCTGATCAAAACCCGATGATCTTGCCGGTGCCCACAAAGATTCCACCTTTTTTTGGTAAATTTTTCTCAAATGACCCCGGCTTCAGCAGGATTCTGCCCTTGAACACTTCCTTCTTGTTCTTATTATCCACTAACCATACTTGGTTCGCTCCGTGACAGACTGCTCAGGGGTTATCAACCTCCAACTGTTAATGTGTACATTTTGTATCAGTGACTCAACACATCTTTCCCCTATTTGGCCTCAATCTTTTTTCACCTGTCACTCTTTCCAACACCTCTAAGCCTATCCTACTGTCCGTCCTCTACACTTCAAAGCCTCTATCCCCCGTCACTAACCTGTACTTTTCCTTCCAAACTCAACGTGGGCCTAAGATCACCCGGGTCAACACCCCATTTCTAGAGTAAGGTGCTAAGGTGTTTCTACTCTTAAGGGGCTGGAAAGCATCGAGGCAGGCACTGCGTCCAGGACGCGGCCCCTGTCCCAAGCCCTTGCTACACTGGGCAGAATGAACCACTACCAGTTTCCTGAACAAACTTACACGTGTGGTTGTCCCGATCCCGAAATGCTCGTTCCTTTCTTTCCCTCCCCCTCCCCCCGCCCCAGCTGATCTAAAAAACTTGTTTCCTGCAGGAGACCTTCTGCAAGCCCCCGGCAGAGCACAGCGCCCCCTCCTGTGCAGCTCCCAGCTCCCAGCGCGCACTGAGTGGGCCCCGGTTGGAAGCTGGTCACACCGCCGGTTCCACGCTCTTCCCAGACACGCGGTGCGTGCGTTCGCTGGGGCGGGGGCACGTTTTATCCATCTCTGTGTTTTATAAATACTTAGTGACAAGATCAAAGCTAGAAGGGCTTTTCCCTCGCTAGAAATGACCCTCGCAGGCCACCACCAGCGGTAAGGCTGTGTGGGGCCGCCCACAGCACCCACTTCCGGCTTCGGGCTGGATAGACCAAAAGTGGAGGCGGGGGAGGTACAGGTCCCGGCCCACCACGCAAGCCCCTTTCTACCCGACCTGGCCAGCGGTAAGGGCAGTGAGGAGGAGGACAAAGTGAAGACAGCGGCCTCGGCCGATGGGAGTGGAGGGGAAGTGTGAGGCTGAGGAACGAGCTCGTTCCCGCTTTCCAAAACCAAGGCTAGGAGCGCGGGAAACCCTTACCGACCCGGCGCTGCACCCGCTGCCGCCGGAGCCCGCCCCTGCACCACGTGACCGGCACGCCTCTTCCTCTGGTCCCCGGATGTGGACGAGCCCATTTGCTTGCACGGAGGGGAGGTCAGGAAGGAGGTTGTTCCATTAAAAGTAGGGGGGCAGGGGGCGGAACAAGCGTGCGGACGGCGGAGGCTGGACGTCAGGTTGGGCGTGACGCGCGCGCGCCCGGCCGAAGGTAACGGCGGGAAGACTCGGGCGCGCGCGCGCGCGCGGCGGCCCCCTAACCGCTTGTGCGCTCGGAGGATGGGCGAGGGGCGGGCGTGTCCTGGTCCGGAGGCGGCCCTGGCCGCGGCAGGGCCCTCGGCCGCGCGGGTCTATGGCCCGGGGCTGGCCTCCGCGGCAGCCCGCAGGCCGCCAGACCCGCCTCCCCCGCCCCGGGCTCGCCCCGGCGCCCCGCCCCTCGGCCTCGCCGCGTACGGCCTGCGGACCCGCGGAGGCGGACTTGGCCTCGCCGGGCGCGCTGTCCGGGCCAGCCAGGTGGTCAGCCCTTCCCCGAGGCCGGGCCGGGGTGGGCGAGCTGCTCCCGAGCCCTGGGCTCCCCCGCACTTACCCTCCTGCCTCGTCTGCCCCGTGTGGTTGGTCAGCTTGCTGCTGGCGTTGTTGTGATTCACCGCCTACGGTGGGAGGGTTAGCCATTTAAAACAAGTGGATTCGTTTTAAAACACATGAATGTTAGTACAGGAGGGTCTGAAGTGGGGGAACCCTGAACGGTGGATTGCTCCATGCAAATCATGGCTGGGAAGTCAATGATGAGTGAGGGTGTGACGGGGATGGTGCCCTAGGGACACTCTAATAACGAAGATGTCGTCGCAGGTGCCCCTTACAACGTAAGAGAGTGAAGATGAGCGAGAATTCGGTGACTAGTCTTCATTTTAGTTGCAGTACACTTATTTGCACAAAGTCGTTTTTCTTGAGCCTGACCATCTGATTCCTGAAACTTTTAAGTGTTATTTTATTCCTCTTAATAAATCAGTGTTATAGAGAAGGTACCCTATAGTTTCACAGTCCCTCACATGCTTGCACTTAATTTTATAGATAAAAGGAAATCATAACAATCATCAGCTACACGTTACCTCCAAATAGTAACGTTTAGATTTATAGCTGTAGCTTAAAGATATAGTAAAGTGTATTATTTTATTACTTGGAATGTAGATTTGGAATCTTTAGATTGACTTTTATCCTGACCTTCTTGTCCTTTGTATATTATCAGTGATCAATATAATTTTCTATATAAAAGGCTAATATGCAAAGTGTCCCCTCAGGAGTTCGGTTGCTTGCTATGATGTGCACTGACCACCAGGGGGTGGCGCGAAGGAAGGCCCGAGGGCAGCTGGCATCGGGATTGCTGGCCAGGCTTAGGGACCCAACCTGTGCACGAATTTCATGCCGTGGGCCTCTAGTGTAGTAATAAAGACAATGTAAAATGTGTTAAAGCTTTATAAACATTGTCACGCTCACTGCCCTTTAAAATGTATGTAGATTCAGGTTTTAAAAATTATAATTGTGTATGTCAATTGTACCGATTCAATTTTCCTCCCACTGAAAGGATGACTGCTTGGTCCTTCCTGTTTCCGGTAGTAGAGGTGGCCTATGTAGTCCACTCTCAGCGCTTCCTACTCTAAAAGAAAGGTCAACCTGATACTGGTTTCAGACACTGAATTTTTTTTTTTTTTTTATGTTAGGGTTGTGTTTTTTTCTTCTCTCCAAGAGCTAGGCTTATATTTTTCAGTTTTGCAAAACCACAGTACTGTCATCCACCTATGAAAATTAATAAAAATTCCATAATGTCAGTATTCAGTCTGGGTTCAGATTTCCCCTGTCCCTTAAATGTCTTTTTATAATTAACTTGTTTGGGTCAAAAATCCCATGGAGATCCACATGTTGCATTTGATTGATACACCTTTTAAAGCTTTTAAATCTAGCCTCCCCTTCCCCTTAACATTCTAGATTTAGCTAATTACATCTGCACTAACATGTACATCTGTTTCCTTTTTTTTCATTAAACTAGTAGATCTAGAATTGTACTGTCCACTATTGTACTCACCAGCCAGCCATGGCTATTTAAATGAATTAAAATGAAATAAAACCAAAATTTCAGTTCCCTAGTCACATTAGCCACATTTCAAGGACCTGCAGTCACAGGTGCCTTGTGGCTACTGTTTGATGTAGATAGAAAATATTTCCATGATTGCAGAAATATCTGTTTAACAGCACTGATCTAGAAGCTTGATCAGATTCAACCTTTATATATATGTGTGTGTGTATATATATATATATTTTGGTTGGGGCAGGAAGGGCGGGGCACAAGGGAGGAAGCTAGAAGGGGTGGGGCAAGGCGATGTCCTATGGTGCAGTGCATTAATTATTAGAGAGGCACACAACGAATTGTCCCTCTTTGTGATGTTAAGATTGAGCAGCATAGTGGGTTCAAGTGTTGTCAGCCCCATCCATTCATCATGAAATTCCCTGTGAACCCTTCCCTTAAAAGGGAAGTCTCATGGATTTAGATTGCCTACATCCATGATTACATTAGGAGTTTAATGTGGTGATTTTATAATTCTGTCATTCCTTCAGTATTTATTAGCTGGAAATCTTTCATGAAGAACTTTCTCCCACCAGCTATTTGACTACCATCAGTTGTTTGAAACACAACTTGTACAGGAGAGGCAAGAAAAATGCTTAATTCTTTCCCTCTATTTTCAGACTACAGTAATGAGTTGGTGGCCTAACGACCTCCAAAGGTAACCATGAGGGTTTTTGCCTTTTAAAAAAATCATCATGAACTTATTGACTTGAATATATTTAAACTGTTTCAACCTATTGCAGTCATTTTTTGTTTTTTGGATGCTCAGATTGTCCTGTATTTTGGCCAGTGGTGGGCCCTTTAAGTTGGCTCCTGTAGACTTTGATGTGACTCGTGGTCTCTGATAATTTCCTCATTTTCTGGTAAAACATGTTCCTGGCCTATTTATATATTTCTGGCCACCAAGAAGCCTGGTTTCTTTGAGTGGGCGATGGTATTGAGAGACCACAGTCTGGGTGCTAGAGGTACTCTTGCTGCGAGGTTGGTCATTAGTTCTAGGTTTACAGTGGCCAAAGTTAGGAAATACATTTTATAAAGAGATATATACAGAATTCACACTGATATTTCCAATTTAATTTTATAAGTTTTTCCTATATTTGATTTTATATTTTTATCTTTTCCTCTTTTGCTAAAAATATTGGTACCTAATGTCATTAACATAATTACTTTTTTATTATCCTATATTTTATATATAACTGTTTCAAATTAACATCACCAATTTTATTATCAACAATATGATTCCTGAATAGTGTTCAGGATTTCTTTGCAGTTCTTTTTTATCCTTACTATATACTCCATTTTTTTGGATATATATACGGTACAATTATTGCATTTTGAAAACATGAAACAAATATATTGTTAGGCTGTCAACCTGATATCTAGTTGGTAAGTTGGTTTATTTAATTTTGTTTTCAGTTTTTCAATCTTGCTTTTTTCCCATATGGATTTGTTTTATTATATGTAAACCATTAACATAGTTCCTATAAAACAGGTACCTGTAAAACAAAGTACATCCCTCTTTTCTCCACCTGACTCCCTTTCTCATAGGTATCATATTTAGTAGTTTTGGGTTTATCTGTTCCTAAAAACAAATGCATCACACACACACACACACACACACACACACACACACACACACACACACTCCCTTCTAAGATAAAAGGTGGTTTTCACATATACTGTTTTTATCTTGCCTTTTTTTTTTTTTTTACCTAATAATACATGCCTTGTAGAGCCCTCCACAGAAGTATGTAGAGATTGTTACCCCTTTTTACAGCTTCATAGTATTTTATTGGTGGATGAATATTCAAATAGTTCCCTGTTGATAGCATTTGTGTTTTTTCCGACTATTGCAAGTAGTTGTGCAATGTATATTCCTGTGCATATGTGACTTCGTATTTTTGCCAGTATGTCTTCGGGATAGTTTCCTAGGAGTGGCATTTTTTGATCAAAGGGTAATAAATGCATGTATATCGGTTTTAGGTATTGCCAGAATCTCGATAGTAGTTGTACCACTTTATATTCCTACATGCAATGTACATGGGTGCTTATCTTCCCATACCTCATCAGTGTGTATTGTCAAACTGTTACTTTTTGGTTACTGTAATACAAAAGAAATGCTAATTCAATGTAGTTTAAATTTGGTGAGCAAAGTCAAGCATCTTTTCATATGTTTAAGGTCATTTGTCTTCTGCCCATTTTTCTAGAGATTTCTTCCTCTCCCCCCCATTTTAGGTTCTCTGTATATTTGAATAATTAAGCCTTTATGATAAAACTTTCAAATACTGTTGTCATTTGTCTTTTAACTTTGCTTATGGCATTTTTCCCATGAAAAAAATGTATTTTTTAAACACTGTATTTTTATTGATTTCAGAGAAGAAAGGAGAGGGAGAGAGAAACATCAGTGATGAGAGAGAATCATTGATTGGCTGCCTCCTGCACCCCGTTTACTGAGGATTGAGCCTGCAGTCCAGGCATGTGCCCTTGACTGGAATTGAACCTGGGACCCTTCAGTCCACAGGCTAACACTCTATCCACTGAGCCAAACTGGCCAGGGCAAAATGTATTTTTATTTACTCAGATTTCTCAGTCTTTCCTCTTATTCTTTCTGGATTTTGAGTCACAGTGTAAACAGTGTTTTACATATTTATTTTGGAAAATTTCTTTGATACTTTATCTGCTGATTCCCCCCGTGCAGCCCCCGCCTCCCCCCGTATCCCCACCTTAAGTTTAATAAGTAGGGACCTTTCTGGGCAGTGGTAAATTATAAATTACTGATTTTTTTGGAGCAGCCATAATGTATCTGACAGAGCCATCCATCTTTATAATCATAGTGACACCAAGGCAGGTAAGGGACAGAGCATTATATCCATCTTTAAATGAGAGTTGATGGGTAGACATTAGTACACATTTATTTGTAATTCCATCCAGAGCTTTTTACTTCCCGTGTTCCATTTTGTAAATAATTTTATCTTGGCCATATACTCTAGATATTTTTCCTGATCTGTAAAATGAAGAGGTTAAATTGGAGGTCTCAGATCCTTTCTAGCTCTTAAATTCCCAGAAATATGTTAATGAATTTCAAGGATTTGCCCATTACCAGTTATCCTATTTGGATTATTTCCCCTTAAGATTAAAAGTGAAAGCCTGCTTCCCAGACTTGGTGAAAAAGCTTGTATTTCCTTTAATCATGCTATTCCAGATTTCGCTGATTTAAAACAGCTTTGATTTCAAAGGATAGTTTTAATTAATAACTTTTGTTTGTTGATGTCTTGCTATAAATGTAGAAATGACTAAGATTGCCGTGCAATAATTGTAGAGCTATACAGTTTCCATTGAACCACATTAGCATTTTATGTTAGTGGCCAGGAGTGGCAGATTACCAAACAGTAATTACTTAAATTTGTATTTAATATTATGAACAAAAAATAGTTAACTTTACATAATTATCACATGGCACAGGCAAAGTAGAAAGCAAAGTGACATAGTGCCTAGAGTTGAATGAGTGCCAGATTGGTCAGGAAAGGAAGTAGTGACATAGCTATGAGAAACTGAAATGAGAAAAGTCCTCAGAAAATCTAAATCCTTGCTGTTTACCTGATCCTAAGGAATGAGAATAGATGGTGTTGACAGCTACTCACGCAGATTGGTGAGGGTATTGTTAAAGAAACACATTATACGTTAGTAAGATTATTTTACACGGAGAATGCTGCTGCTCCCCCTCACAACCTACCCCCACCTTTAAAAAGAAGGATCTCTTTGTCTTAGACCCCTGGTTGGCAAACTGCGGCTCGCTAGCCACATGGGGCTTTTTGGCCCCTTGAGCGTGGCTCTTCCTAAGCCTTAGGAGTACCCTAATTAAGATAATAACAATGTACCTACCTATATAGTTTTAAGTTTAAAAAATTTGGCTCTCAAATTTCAATCATTGTACTGTTGATATTTGGCTCTGTTGACTAATGAGTTTGCCGACCACTGTCTTAGACCATTATTTTGAATTCTGAAATAGCACTTTTCCTCCTCATGTGGACTATTTTCACTATTGTGCTACTGCCACCTGGTGGCCATGATAGTGATGTCATACTTAGTTTATATTTTTTCCTGTATTCAGACTTTTTGATTTGGTTTGATTTTGTTTATTGCCAAGAAGACTCTATTGAACCAAAAGAAGACATGAAGGTATTTTAAGATCTGGAATACTGTAAAATACATAATGTTGTACATTGGCTGAGACTCAGCAGTCACACTGCTTATGTTTGAATCCTAGGACTATAATTTGTAGTTTACCAGTCAAGTTATTTAACCCTCGAGGTCTGTTTCATCAGAGTAATAGTATCTGTCTTTAATGAGTGTTGTGAAGAATTAGATAATATATACAAGGCAAAACAGTTGAGTACGTACGTGTTGACTTTTTGCTATGATAAATATTGCTAATTATAAAGTAATGTCACCCAGAAAATATATCAATGTATTATATATTATTAAATGTGTATTATTAATATATATTACTAAGTATATTAATGTTTAAGAATAACATGACCTAACTAAATGTAATTTTACTAATGATAATTTTGAGTAATAGCACTTTCCTACATATTTAATAAATACCCATGTCTAGTTATCAGGAGGAAGCTAGTTACCCTGAACATTTAACTGGCTACTAGAATCCCATGGAAAAGCTGGAAGAAACCTTGGAGATTATAGTTCAGTGTCCTCATTTTACAGATGCAAAAACTGAAGTCCAGGGACACAGCTAGATAGTTGCAGAGCAGGGTTGCATCCTGGGTCTCCATCTGCATGGAACTGGGTGAAGGCTGCCCTGCCTCTCAGTTCCCTAGAGTGGGAATCTGGGCTGTTTGGTAATTGACCATATCATGGTTTGAAAGAAAGTAGAGTAGAACATGAAAACCTTTCTCTCTAGGTTTTTATTTTGTCTAATGAAGGACAAACCAACTAGAAAAAATCCTCTCTGTCGTATTTATGTATGAATAGTTTAACACTCCTGATAGAACTTTAGAAGTAGATGCAAATAACACAATGGCCGTATTTTCCACTTTTCTCATTCTCCTCTGTGCTTTCAGGAGAATTCCTCTGTCTCTACATTTTCATTCTGGGGAAAGAACATTTTTGGTCATTTTTTTTCTTTCCATACAGGACTATTAATTCCTTGAAAAGGGCCATATCTTTCATCACTATATATCTAGTGGTTAATGCACCATTGAATTCTTTTGTTGAATGAAAGAATCCTTAGAGAAATAGAATTTTTAAACAGGGCATTAGGACAAAGAGGCAAAACCTCCACACCACAATATTTGGGAATTAACTAAAACAGCGGTTCTCAACCTGCGGGTCGCGACCCCTTTGGCGGTCGAACAACCCTTTCACAGGTGTCGCCTAAGACCATCCTGCATATCAGATATTTGCATTATGATTCATAACAGTAGCAACATGACAATTATGAAGTAGCAACGAAAATAATTTTATGTTTGGGTCACAACATGAGGAACTGTATTTAAAGGGCCAGAAGGTTGAGAACCAATGAACTAAAAGATTAACTCAGGACTGAGTCTTGGAAGGTTTAAGAAAAAAGCATTATTTCAGGAGTGAGAAGTGATTTGACATGACTAATATTTTGAAGATTTGTGATAGTAGGGAGAAATCTACAAGAGGTATTACTAATCATGGGCACTTCTAAATTAAGGGCGGTCTTTCCTCTCTCCTCATCTTTCTTTATGGTATCTTTCTCTTTCTATGACAGTCTCTTCTGTTTCCCTTCCCTTCTTTCTCTGCCCGGCCTTCTCTGTAGTTCTCCAGCTGTGACCACTTTGCATAGGGGCATGGGTAAAGGGAGGGGAACTGACGTAAGTTCAGCCCAAAGCATCTAGCACATGCCCAGTTGAAATGCTACACTAAGCTCTGGAGCTGCAGAGATGAATAACACTGGCTTTCTGTCCTTGCGGGGTGGACCGTAGGAAAAGGATGCATTCCACTGTGAAGACCCTGTTAAGGACTAGGAAGGATGAAGTGTGGAGGAGGGTGGGTCTTCTAGGAAGCGGCCAGGGTTTGTCCTCTTGAGGTTGAGGAGGCTATCCTGTGATGGACCAGGGAGTTCAAGCTCAGGGCACTGAACCTGTTTATAATATCTCAAAAAACAACACCCACCCCCCCAAGCTACACCTTTTCTCTGGTGTGTGTGACCCCTAATTTCTTATGCATGGGGGTTTATGTCAGTGTCCCTCTGCTTCCAGCATCCCACCTCCACCTCAGGCCCACCCTTACGTTAGGAAGTAGGCATGCAGCAATGAGGCATTTGATTTCAGGCATGCAGGGAGAGTGTCAACAGCAGTTAGATCCCTTTAAATCATTTTGTTTTAGTCTGAATGTATTTTGTCCTAATATTTTTGGAAGTTATATGCCCCTACGGTCATCCTAAGAAGCACTGCATTTTCTCATTGTTATTTGTATGCGTTCATTCACATTCTTGTCAGTTGGAATGTTAGAACTTAAAAAATGAATTTTCTCCTGACTGATGTTTTTCCTTTTCCAGTTGCCAAAACAAAGGGGATTTGGCGATGGAGGCTTTGTTGGAAGGAATACAAAATAGGGGGCATGATGGGTAAGTTTGCTTTTGACCTTAAGCGTCTCACTGAATTTAAGCAGCGTATCTGAGTGCTGCCTCTGACCATTTTGTGCTTTGGATACAGAAGCAAAAGCGTTGAACCAAAGCTAAGCTGATTCGTGTTGTTTGTGAAGAGCGTCTCTCTGGGATTTTGGCCTCATCGCAGGCGTGTGAAGCTGGACGCTTGCTTTCATCCCTCTTTACATTTTCTACTCTTAAAAAGCAAAAGTAGAAGTACAGAGGTTTTGTGAGACTAAGCAATGTTTTTTAAAAAAGTATTTAAGCCTTAGTAGTTGTGGCTCTCTCTGACCACTCTTGGAAGCCTTTTTACATTTCTTACATCGGTGTCCACTTTTGTCTCCAACTCTGAAATATCTGGCGTCTCCTGAAACTTCGCAGGACATCAGTAAGTTTACAATAATCAGATAGGTTGCAGCAGGTTTCTAACAAGGTGGGAAAAATAATTGAAATAAGTCTGACTCAAGGACGACTTTCTTGAAACAGCTCTTAAAATTGTATTATCATTTTCCCAATAGCCTAGTTGCTTCCAAAACTTTTTATTTTGACTAGCTGAGACTGTGACATAAGCTGGCCGGGATTCTTCCTGAAAGCTCCCTGAAAATATTACAGAAATGCTAGTTGTTGGTTGTCAAAGTCTAACTTACAAGCCAGACCCAAAACATCAATTTTGTGTTTGACCCCAAAACTTAGGCTTTAGGTTGGCTGTTAGAGGAAGATAAAATATTTTGTGGGATAAGTCATCACCTTAATATATGAACATTAAAAGGAAAAGCTCAGAAGTCCTGTTCTTTGCTTCTGATAATTTATTTATTGGCATTGTTTCCCTCCAGGTAGGTTTATATCTGCTATATTTTTTGCATCTGAAAGATGAAAAGCCCTCTGACATGTCTGTGTTAAGGGTCTGTTCTTACTTATAGGGGATTTTTGACATCCTGTGAAGCAGAACTACAGGAGCTCATGAAACAGATTGACATAATGGTGGCTCATAAAAAGTCTGAATGGGAAGGGCAGACACATGCTTTAGAAACATGCTTGGACATCCGTGAGCAGGAACTTAAGTCTCTTAGGAGTCAGTTGGATATGAAACACAAAGAGGTAAAGCAGTTGATTTACTCCTCTTTTTGATATTTTGACATTAAAGATATTTCTTAAATATTTGTTGAAGAAAGCATTTTTGTGTCTTTAGTTTCTATGTTGTCTTGTAATTCTAGTGGTTTCTTTTAGAAGAAAAATTCATTGTGAAAGTGCCCCAAAATATTAATATTTCTTTCAATGGTCTTGTTACTTTGGTCACATATAATAAATACATATATAACTTCTTTATGAAAATGTGAATTGTATCACATGATCTTTGTATAACCTCCATCCTATAAGTCTGTATTAACATTCACTGAATTTAGTGAACATAGTTTATGGTCTCACTGTATGCCTAGTTTGAAAAAGTAAGCCCAGAATTCAATAATTTGCCTCTTTTGATTAGATCTAAAACAAGATTCAGAAAACCCTTTTTTAAAAAAATTATATTTGCCCCTGTTCAAAATTAGGGGAAAAGAAAGAACAAAGGAAAATAAAAATTACTTGAAATCTCACCACCCATAGTTTTTGGTGATTTGGGGGAAAAGTTTAATATTTGCTGTTAGCTGGTACAGTAAAAATACACTGACTATTGGAAGGGAAGCAGAAAGCATTTATGTAAGTGCAAGAATTGCCTCTGAATTTCTGGCATGGATGGCAATCTCAGAAGGATTGGAAGAGTTGTAGAGAAACACTGGTCCCAAGCCCCACTCTGTGTATATATATCTCCAAGTCATTTATTGTGGTATAAACCCATGAAAGAAATTCCTGTGTGTGTGATTATGAGAATATTTAGTCACTTTGAGGCTGTTTGAACTTAATTCTGTAGCTTAGTTTGGATGTCAAGGGCATTATTGCTATTTTTTAATACCGTAAAGAGAAATTATAGGTTCCATGTTAAGAATTTAAAGATTACAGGTTTGTCCTGGCACATAAAAGAAATTTAGAATTGTAGCTGTCTGGTCAATTTGCCGCTTCATTGAATGGACTGCTGAAAGTAGATTAATTTTCTAGAACTAAAGTGCTTTTACCAAACACTAGTAATGGGAATCTGTTCCATAGTTTGTCTGTGAAATTGTGTTGAGCCCTGGCCAGTGGCTCAATTGGTTAGAGCGTTGTCACATACCCAGAAGGCTTCGGGTTGGATTCCTGGTCAGGGCACATATCTAGGTTGCAGATTTGATCCATACAGGAGGCAACAGATAGATGTTTCTCTCATGTTGATGTTTCTCTCTCCCTCCTTCCCCCACCCCCCTCTCTCTCAAGAAAAAAAAAAATCAATAAGCATATCCTCAGGTGAGAATTAAAAATAAATTGTGTTGGTAATACCATGTTCATATTCTACTTTGAAGAGTAAATGACATAAGAACTAGAAAATAAGGCTGCAAGTTTTTTTCATTCGTATTTGTTTGCCAGCTTAGAAGCAGTTAGTCCTGTGGTATAAACCAGTGCTGCTCAGGTGATGGGCCCATGATGAGATCAAAATCTTGCAGCAGAATGTCAACCAGTGCATTGCGTCCTTCACTTCATAGAAGGTTTTGCTATAGAACAATGTCATTTGCACTAAACTGTGTGTTTGGTGACACAGTTGATTTACATTCTGCCTCAAGCTCCTGGTACCTGCTGGATTGCTATTGTGACTAGCGCCAGCCTGTCTGCAGGTCATATGTGGAGGAGTACTAGTATAAACAGCCATTTTGTAAGTGGATGCTTTATGATTTCTGATTATACTGTTGGGACTGGGTTGGTTTTCATGGACCTTCTGCTGCTGTTGCCTTCTCATGCCCTACAGAGCAGGTAGACTTAATGAAATGAGTAAGGGATTTGGAGTCCTGGCTCTGCCTCTTTTCAGCTGATTGGCCTTGAACAAATAATTTAACTTCTCTGAGCCTATTTCTTCATGTGTAAAATTAGGATGAAAACCCTAAGTCCCAGTGTTGTTGTGAAGATTGAGTTACTGTTTAAGAAAGCACTTTGAAAACTATAAATTGTATCTAGAATCAGTTATTTCAGCTCTTTTGTCACCCATGATGCCGTTTCAAACCTTGGCTCCCATTTCTTTACCTATGCCATCCCTCACTCTCAGCATTTAACCTTTTTTTCCCCCACCTTTTCTTTTAAGAAATTTAAATATTTTGAGTGCCCACTATGAGCCAGACCCTGGTACATAAATAAAATTAAACAATATTTTTTCATTTAATATTTATATTTTCCATGTATAATAAATACAAAAAAAGATTCTACAAGGCTCATAGAGGAAAACAGAAATTATCTGCCCAGCCCCCTGAACCTGGGATTTCTGCTTCTCTGAAGCAATCATTTCAATACCTTTAACTCTTTCTTTTGTATTCTCTTCATGTTTCTAAGTAACATTTTATACTCACATATCCTTGTTTTCAGGCTTAGCTATTTATCTAATGACTTTCTACTATGAAAATTAAGGGTTTTTCTCTCTTCCATGCAATTTCCACTTCCTCATCCTGCCAGGATCATATGTCTTAATTTTTGGTTAAGCTCAGTATTCAGTATTTACGTCATGAAGATGGTAAATATTATTCACAGCTGAGTCAGATAGTATAATGATAATTAAACTACTTCTTATATAATTTTTTGTTTTCTGGGAATTAATAATTGTCTCATTTTCATTTGCTTTTAAAAAATGAACCTATCATTGATTCTTCCCAAATTCTCTGATACAAATGTAAGTCTTAGTGTTTTCAGGCATATCAGGTAAAGTATTTTCTTTCTTTTTGAGCTTGCCATTCTCAAATATGATTAAGTGACTCTCTAGACTAGCAGTATAGCTTCATCTTGGAAACTCTCTTCACTATTATTCTGGAGCTTTTATACATTTATTTCTTCATTTTGGTAGAACATACTTTTATATATCTGAAGATATCTTTATTCTCTTTTCACATCTGATTCAAAGTTTGATTGGCTGTAGAATTCTGCTTGAGAAGTAAATTTCACTCGGGATGTTTTTAGTTAAATGTGAATTTTTCAGACTTGAACATTTGATAATGGCAGACTAGGCAATTTGGGCCAGTTTACCTTCTGAGGACAAGTACGTTAGATTAAAAAAAAAAAAAACTGCTTGAAGCAGAGTGCTCACAAGATAGTGAAGGCCAGGTCTAGGCTGGGCTAGAGGTCCACAGAGGTGAGTTCCAGGGTTTGAGGCAATTATTAGCTGAAACTAGAGAAGGCAGTTGAGAGGATAGAGACTGAATCGGTTTTTTAAATAATTTCAAGGGATTAGGAAAATAAAGGATTTGATGTCTAAGGTGGCTCTGAATCCTTCCTCATTTTCAGTCGGAAACCTGAAAGGAGTAAGGATGGGCCAGATGTAGAACACGTCCTCTTCAAAATGCTGCCAAAATGCAGACATTTAACTCTCTGTCCCAGCATCTTCCCATACACCCAGGTTGCTGGTTCAATTTTGGGTCAGGACACCTACCTGGTTTTGGATTTGGTCCCTGGTTGGAGCATGTATGGAAGGCAACCAGTTGATGTTTATCTTTCCCTCTCCATCTCGCCCTTCTTCTTTCTAAGTGTGTCCTCTGGTGAGGGTTAAAAAAATCTCTGAATTAGTTTAAGCTGATCCTAGAGTGCTACTGTCCCCCCAGGCAGCGCGGAATGCTCGGGCTTCTAGGAACCTGGAAAAAAACAAACTTACATTTTCTCCAAAGGAAAGGAAAATCACCATTCTGGGTCTTGAATTATTTCTTCAAATAAGTTTGCAAATATAATGCTTGATAACCATTGAGATAGTAACCTCAGACATATAAGAAGACAAGACAACAACAATTTTAAAATGGAGGGGCAATAAATTATAGAAATTGACCCAAGACAAATCTAGATATGGGTACTATTATGCTTAGACTTTACAGTAGTTGTATGTACTGTATTCAGAGAGACAGAAGATTAGATCAAGCAATTGAAAGAATTGGAAACTAAAAACAACCACAATGAGTATTGAGAAATAGAATAATTGAAACCAAGGTCTTAATTAGTAAACTGGAAGATGGCTCAAGAGAAAATGTTTAGAATACAGAGTAGACAAAATGATAGCAAATATAGAAGAGAAAGTAAATGAAAGAGGATACAGTGAAAAGGTCTAGTATAACTGCTTTTGGAATCTCTGAAGGAGAAAAAAGAGAGGGAATGGGCAGAAGCAATATTTGAAGATAAATTGGCTGAGGTTTTGCCAAAAGTGAGGAAGAACTTGTATTTAAGAAATACAATAATCTCAAGCAAAATATGTAAGAAATATTTACCTAGATTGAAAACTAAAGACAAAGTAGTAATCTGAAAAACAAAGAAAAAATAAAACCAAAAAGATTATCTACCAAAATAAAAAGACATTATCTACAAACAGTTCCTACAGTTGACTTGTCAGCTAGAAGAGTGAAAGCCAGAAGACAATAGAATGTTATCTACAAAGAAATGACTTGTTTTCCCTGCCAAACCAGAAATCTATACCCAGAATAAAAATGAAAGGAAGATATTTTCAAATCAACAAAAATTGAGAGAACTTGTCACTGTCAGACCTGCACCAAGGAAATACTAAAGAATGTTCTTCAGGCAGAGGGAAAGTGACCCCAGATGGAAGCTTAAGAGATTAAGGAAGAAATGAAAGGAAATAGTAAATATGTGGGTAAAGCTAAGTGAATATTGACTGATATAACAACAATAACCTTTTCAGTTTAACATATGTAGGATTATGATGGCATTTAAAATAGTCAGGTTTGGGATAAATGGAATTAAAGTATTTCTATAGTCCTTGGGTTGCCTGGGAATTGGTAAGTCTACTAATTAACATTAGATTTGTTCATAGACACATGTTTTAATCTTGAGAGAACCATTAAAAATACACATTAACATGTTAACAGTATATATCCTCCAAGCTATAGGAGACAAATGAAATGATAAGACGTTATCAGTTCCAAAGAAGGCAAGAAAGGAGAGAAAAAGGAACATAGAGTTTATTAAGTACAAATAACACTCAAGATACAGATTTAAATCTGAATAGGTCCATTCAATGTAAATGCACTAAATGGCCCAAGAAGAAGATAGAAATTGTCCAACTGGATAAAAATAATTAAACTCCATTATTTGGGGCTTACAAAGGTACAACAAAGTTGAAAGTAAAAGGTAAAATAAAAATATATTTCATGTAAACACTTTGAATAGAAATATTATATAGGTATATTCATATTAGAAAAAGTATACTTGAAGCAGAAGCAATGAACATTACTCAGGTGAAGAGAAATCCTTCATAATTATAAAGCATGAAATTTCAGTACATATAACTGTAGCAGACATTCTTTGTGGCCAGTACCACATCTTTGCCTCCTGATTTCATCTTGGCTATTATGCAGCTCCCGTGCACTGCCAGCATCTCACTGCGCTGTGCTTCTCTCTCTGGAGCCTTGGAAAGCTGCTCAGGTGAACCTTGGAAGTGTGGGGATGTTAACACTCACAGGGCAACTTTTAAGCAGTGGAGGAACTGGAATCTGTGCATAAATTCTCCAGCTTACCATCCTTTAGAATAGAGGGACAATTTTGAAACACGTTCTGTCTGGTTCCCTGGTGAGTTCCCAAGTGTGATTTAGCCGCGGCTGCTGAACTGCAGAAATCCACTCACTAACACACCTCTTTATTCCTTCCCTGGGTCTCTCTCTCCATTTCCTCACTGTGCTACCTGGGATCACTTCCAATTACTTGCCCCGAAGTCCAAGTCTCAGGCTATGTTTTGGGGGAAACTCAAACTAAGACAAAAAACCCCCCCACAAAACCCCGCACTAAATTTGTAAGTATCTAATAAAACAGTCTTAAAAGAAATTTCTTTCACTCTCCTTTATCTGTATGCAAAAAGATGCAGAACTACAAGGAGAAATGGAATAAGTGACAGTTGTAGCTGGGGATTTTAACCTGCTTTTCTTAGTAACTGATGGAACAAGAGACAAACATCAGTAAGGATATAGACTTGACCTAAGTTATACGTACAGAACATTGCACAAGAGGACTGTGGAGTACACGTTCTTTTTTAACACAAACAGAACTCTTTCCAAAATTGACCATTTTCTGGGCCGGAAAGTAAGTCTCAACACACAGAGTATGGCCTCTGAACATAGTGGAAACAAGTTAGAAGAAAATACCTAAAAGTTAAAAATCCTTTGAAATAGGTTTATAAATGTTTTTCTCAGTTTATTTGCTTTTTAACTTTAATGGGGGTTTAAAAAATATAGAAGTTTTGCATGTTTACATAGTCTATTCTTTTTAAATGACTCAGTTTTAAGCTCAGAAAGTTTTGTCCTACCCCAGCAATCCAGTAAATATTCACTTAGATCTTTATTAAAGAGTAGTTTTATCTTTTCTATTTTATTAGCTACATTTAATCATTCTTCCAGTTTGAACTTCAGAACACCTTTTTCAAGTTAAAAAAAATCCTAGAGTTTTTTCATTGGAATTGCATTAACTTTTTGTTCTTATAAGAATTTTTTTCTTTTTTTTATACTGAAGTATAATTGAGCTATAATGTTATATTAGTTTCAAGTGTACAATGTAATGATTCAATATTTGTATAAATTGCAAAACAATCACTGCAATAAGTCTGCTTAATCTCACCATCATACATAGTAACAATTTTTTTTTGTGATGAGAACTTTTAAGATTTTTTTAAAAATTACCATTCTATATCGTATTTGAAATTACTCCTGATCCTCATTCTTCCTCTCCATCCTCACTTAGATGAAATTCTAACTGGAAGAGAGGCCAAGAACCATTGATGGATATTGAGGGGGTGATGGCTGGGCATGAACTAGCTGTGGCGGTTACCAAACCGTTTGAAATGGGTTAGGATAATGTCCTTGCTCTGGTTTGTAGAACTGATTTCTCTGAACTGGGATACATGGTAAAGCAGGTGCAAATCTCCAACTCTCTTTTCTGTCTGACATTACAATTTTGCATTTTGATTTAGAGAACTTATTCTTGATGTCTCAGGTTTTTTGTTTGTTCAATATTCTTAGTTTCCAAGGCTCTTATAACTTTGTATCTCTTAATTTTTTTAATGTATTTTTTTTCTTTTTATGAAAAGGGTTAGGGAGAATAAATCAGACAGTGAGAGCAAGTTTTCATCTAAACCTAGAAATAGAACAGAACAGTTGTTTTCAATTTTTCTTGGCAGTGTTATGGATCATTAAGTAATTAGATACTTGACTTAACTGAGAAGTGGGATAATATCATATACAATTGAGAATTTGTGTTTACAAATAAGTACAAAGGTTATTTTCTATTTTTATGTTTCAGGAATATTGTTTCAATGCTAATAATGAACAATGCTACCACCTGTCTGCTTGTAGGTTGGAATGTTGCGTCAACAGGCAGAAGAACATGAAAAAGTCAAGCAGGAGATGGCCATGGACTATAAGCAGGAGTTAAAGAAACTACAAGAAGAAGTGAGATTTGATTCTGTTAGGAGTTGTATCATTTTGTCTCTTTAACCTTGATAATTTTGTTAACAGGCTAGTTTTACTTTGTAAAGTGGAAAGTATATATTTCATGGGAGGAACAGGGGCGGGAATTGATTTCTCTGTTCTTAAGTCCAGGCAAAGAATCTTGCCTAATTATATGTTTGATACAACCTAGAACAGAGATTTTCTAAAATGTGTTTCTCAGTTGAGTACCTGAAAGAAATAGAGCTATTTTTGTATAATACTGTGACATATTGATACCAAAAACATACTAAATACTATTTTTGAGTTAAATCAGTTACTAGATTTTAAGTAATGGAGGATCTGACACATTCAGAAGCATTTTGGGATAAATAAGAGAAGTAAAAAAATTCTGTTAACTCAATTTTATTCTTCAGATTGGAAAAAATTACTTTTACTTAATTCCAAAATACTTCTCTCCTGCTTACTATCAGTGTCCCACAGGAGAATGGCTCAAGAGCCACAGCCTCACTGCTTTTACTTGGAGGCGGGATGAGTTGTGGGGCTGTTAAGTACAAGGCTTTTGTAATAACAATTAAAGTTTTGTTAAGAAAAATATTTTCCCTTTATTCTGTCTTTGACTCAATGTATTTCTTCTCTAGTGTTTATGTTTTCTATGCAGATTTGAGTTGTTTTGTATTTTAATTTGCAAAGCAAACATGCTCTTAATCTACTTTCAGTAGTACTACTTAGTGCTATTCTTGCTTTCACAATACCAATTTGTTCTACCACCACTGTTTACAAATTCTTAAATTTTAAGTCTAGAAATAACTGTGTCTACAGTTAGGCAGACTGAAGAGAAGTTATGAAAAACTACAGAAAAAGCAAATAAGGGACTTCAGAGGCAACACCAATAATCACAGGGAAGATCAATCTGAAATTGAGAGGTTAACCGGAAAAATAGAGGTACGTTCATGGTAATAATTTCTTCTTAGTGATTGTCAGCCTTCTTGGAGTAAAGTGCTGTTTCTAGTAGCATTGGTTTCTGAAATCAATTTTCTACCATTTCCAGGATTGCTGCCAAGCTATTTCAAGGTCGGGGGTGATCTATACATCCTATCATCATATGGTTCCCTGTGGTTGACGGGGTTACTAGCTACCAGTAATTCTCCACAGGCCAGTACCACCCTTCAAGGGCATTTGGGACTGTATGCAGACATTGTTTTGGTTGCCAAAATGACTGGGAGTGAAACTAATATTAGGGGACAGGGACCAGGGACACTAAACATGCTGGGAGCTGTTCCATAAAGGAAGGATTGCTATACCCAAAATGCTAATACTGGGAAACATTGACCATCAGTTACTAGCAGTCTTTGGGGGGCAGTGTCCTTGTCTTTCTTACTGATGGGAGGAGGGGCTTAGTAAATGTTGAAAGCACATGGCTCTTCTGTACAGAGTATTCTGCGTATCAGATTGTTTACCCTCAGTTCCATTTAGATATAGTAAGCCATTTACCTCCCTCTTTGCCGACCTCATTGTATATTGTATGGAGTCCCTGAAGTCCTCAAGGGACATGGTGAGCTAACATTGCCAAGAGTAGATGAAGGAGCAGCACGGGGCTGACACCCTTTCCCCTGGAATCTGCCACCCCGCTCCTCTGTCTCTGCCATTGGTTCTCTAGTGCACCTAGGAACCACCCAGGGCCCTCTTCAGGCTCCCAGAGATGCTGATGCAGTAGTGTGGCACAGGACCCAGGAATCTGCATATTAACCAGCTCCCCGAGCTGATTCTAATGTGAGAAACATTGAGCAACATCTTTGTATGATTACTTACAATGTTTCTACTCAGAGCAACCTATTAAATGACAATGGCCAATGTCCTAGAATTGCAGTTTCTGTTCAATATTCTACATCTCAATATTTTTGTACATTTGAAGAGCTTATAATCTGAGGACTACAGAGATACTGCTCCCTCTCCGGCCCTCTGCAGTGAAACCTGGGCTCCCCCGCCCCCAAGTTTCTCATTACTACTTCCTGCCCAATCTCTTTTCTTTCTACCTCAAAAACCACATCTTTGATTTTCATGTCATCAGCCTATATCACCGACCAATATACATACAACCACAGTAGTCATACAATGAATGTATTGTCTATTGCTCTCACATTGAGTGGGGCTGGGATTTTTGTTTGTTTTGTTAGCTATTGTATCCCTAACACCTGGAACTATACCTGGCATATATGATTGAATGAATGAATGAATGAGCAATGATCTGACAGTTGGTTAACAATAATTACCCCAAGCTAGCATGAGACTTCTGGAGGACAGTAATAGAAAGACTGAGTTTTTATTCCCTTTGATTTGCCCTGTTTTCATATATATTGGGCTCATTTTCTTGATCATGTAACTCAAAGTTACTATTGATCTATCATTATCTTTAAACTGTTTGCTTTGGGTTATCATATCTGATAAATTTGGTACAGATTTCTCGTTATTCAAGTCTGTGCAGTTGTTCTGTTGAGATAGTAAAAATTTGTATTTGAAAGGATATTGTGTTATCTGGATCTGTTTGGTTCCTGAGTTTTTGATACTGAGAAATAAGAATTGGGCTACCAAAGGACTTACCTAGAAATTTATTTGAATCTGTTCAATTTTGGGTTTGGATATCAAGACTTTGGATAGCACCCTGGCTGGGTAGCTCAGTTGGTTGGAACATCATCCCATACTCCAAAAGGTTGTGGGTTCAATTCTCAGTCAGGACACATACCTAAGTTGTGGTTCCATCCCAGATAGGGGTGAGTATGGGAGGCAGCTGATCAATGTTTCTTTCTCACGTCGATGTTTCTCTCTCTCTCCCTCCCATCCTCTCTTTCTAAAAATCAATAAAAAAATATCCTCAGGTGAGGATTAAAAAAAGAGAATTTGGCTAGCAAGGGATATCTGTAATCATATTTTGAAATTTTAGTTATCTTAGCATCAGTTTTCTGAAAAGTCACTAAAAAATTATAACTGCCTTTAGATGGCAGCAAATCTATGAAAATCTCCATGAACCAGTATTAGCCACTGTGTTTCATTCTCTTCACCATTAGGGTGTTAAATTTAGAAAGACAGATATCCAGACACACAGTATGTAAGGAATTCAGTATTACTCTACAGTCCTATCAGCTAAGTGAGTAATGGGGCTCCTGCTGTGGGGAAAGGTGCATGTGTACCCAGGGATGTGGGGGAAAATTAAAGGAAAAGTGAGTCTGGGAGGTATGACAGCAAGGGGAAGCACTTAGAAGTTAAGTACTTAATTGCCTCTTCAGGAATTTCGTCAAAAATCACTGGACTGGGAGAAGCAACGTTTGATTTATCAGCAACAGATATCGTCTCTGGAGGCTCAAAGGAAAGCTCTGGCTGAACAATCAGAGATCATTCAGGTAGGATGTAGGCATTTTAAAAGAATGCGAGGCAGAGAGGTTTTGATTAAATTAGAACTGGCTTGATGTAATTTGCGTGTGCTTACCCACATCCACTGTGTCCTCATGCCCACTTGCTCTTTTGCCTTCTTCCCTGGCTTCCTTTCCCCCACTCATGCTCTCTCTCTTGCTCTCTTGCTCTCTTACTCTGTCAACTTCTTGCATTCTCAGTCTCGTTCTACTCTCACATTCATATTCATTCTCCTAATCTTGGTCTCTACCCCTCTCCCTCCACTTTTCTCTTTCTGCCCCTGTTCTCTGTCTTTGTGTCTCTGACTTACTTGTTCTGGTTGTTGCTGGCTGTGTCTTGCTCTGACTCTGGTAGCTGGGGTACTTTGGCTGAGGTACCTCAGCTGGAAGCTTCAGCAAGTCTCCCTGTGAATCCAAGTGCTAAGTATTCACACTGCATTGGTGTGCACACTCATAACAAGCAGTATCTTTGTGGCAACAGAAACACTTTTTAGAACACTGGTACAAACTGTTTTTTAATGAAGAGCTAATGGCTTAAGAAAAACCAAAATATAGCCACCAATTTAGGAATATTTCTTTTTGGGACAATTTGTTTGCTTTTTCAATTAAGAACTAAGAAAATAATGGGAAACATTAAAGGAAATGAATATTTGTGACCATCTATTATGTGCTAGACACTATCCAATGCCTCTTCTAGATGCAGTTCTCTAGAATATATAGTTTTATGTTACCTGTTTTATATGATAATCTGTTGAGATTGGTAATTATCTGTTTTATACAAGGAGGGAATAGACTGAATAAGAGAACTGGAAGGAAGCCTTTTTTAAAAAATAAAATATAATCTGCTTATTCTCTGCTTCAAGTCTCAGTAATTTTTTTTAATATATGTATTTTTTTTATTGAGGAAGGGAGAAGGAGGGAGAAACATCGATGTGAGAGAGCATAACATTGATTGCTGCCTCCTGCATGCCTCCTCCTGGGGATATTGCCTGAAACCTGGGCATGTGCCCTTGGCTGGGATGGGATGAGAATCAACTGGCAACCTCCTGGTGCATGGGACAACGTCCAACTGAGCCATACTGACTAGGGCAATATATTGGCCGTTGACTATCCCCCTGAAGTATCAGCCTGCCAATAAACTACCACTGATGGCTCTGCTGTGAGTATCTCCATTGAGAATGGCAGGAGGGACTCACAGCAACCTCAGGAAAGAAATTTATTTTCAAAGCTGCAGTAAGCTACATAACCAGAATGGGCCAATAAAATCCCGGATGTCTAGATCTGAGTTTTTTGACTTGAACTAAAGCGCTAAACAAATACACATAAGATATCGTTTGTTACATTCTAATTGTAGCCTTCAGGTTGGCAAAAAAATTGAGCTTTTAATAGTTGTCAATTATTCATCTATAGAGTGTACTTATTATTGACTGCAGACCCTTTATTTTCAAATTACTATTGTGATTACTCTGCATAATTAAAACTTTGTCAGTAAAAGTGAGATTTTTATGTACCAAAATTCAGATAGGGCTAGAATAATAGGCCTTTTAAAAAAGCCAACATTTGTTTTCTAAGGGTATTTGAATTATTCTTCTTATGCTTTTATTTAAGTTAAAACATGTTACTTATATTTCTCTTTCTCCCTTAGCAAACCAACCAAATGAAATCTTTCTGTGATTCAGTATTAGCAGAGCTGTATGGTCCTCATTTAAGAAAAACAAACTTTTTTTTTTTTTTAAATATATTTTTATTGATTTTTTACAGAGAGGAAGGGAGAGAGATAGAGAGTTAGAAACATCGATGAGAGAGAAACATCGATCAGCTGCCTCCTGCACACCTCCTACTGGGGATGTGCCCACAACCAAGATACATGCCCTTGACCGGAATCGAACCTGGGACCCTTCAGTCCGCAGGCCGACGCTCTATCCACCGAGCCAAACCGGTTTTGGCCAGACATTGTCTTTTTATTTTTTGGCTTTATTATTATTTTTTTATCTTTAATTTCTTTATTGGTTAAGGTATTACAAATGTGTCTTCTTCCCCCATTAGCCCCCATCCTCTCCCCCGCCCCCCACTCATGCTCTCATCCCCCTGTTGTCCGTGTCCATTGGTTTGGCTTATATGCATGCATACAAGTCCTTTGGTTGATCTCTTCCCCTTACTCCCACCCTCCCCTACTCTCCCTCTGGGGAGTGATAGTCTGATCGCTGTTTCTCTGTCTTTGGATCTGTCCCTGTTCATCAGTCTATGTTGTTCTCTATATTCCACAAATGAGTGAGATCATGTGGTATTTATCTTTCTCTGACTGGCTTATTTCACTTAGCATAATGGTCTCCAGTTCCATCCACGCTGCAACAGACATTGTCTTATTTCCCAACAAAAAGAATTTAAAAAATCATGCTTTTAGTATACCAGTATCACATTAGCAGAATAAATAATAACTTCTTATGTAATTTAATATCCGGTGTGTTCAGATTTCCGCAGCTGTCTTTTTACAGTTCTATGCTCAAATTGGAATCCAGTAAAAGTTGACACATTGCATTTTGTTCATTTGTGAGTCGCTTTGAACAATGAGATAGAAAATCTGGGAAATTAGATAATTAGATATCAACATATTTCTCCCCAATTTAAAAAAATTCTTGATGTAAACTTTTTTCTTATGTTTCTTAACATTTAAAAGTGGAGTTCAGAATGCCTTCTCACACTTTGAGTCATATATTTGTTTGAGTTCTTTTCTTTTAGTCAGCTATTAAAATTACATAATACATGTTCATTTTAGAAATACAAGAAAATGTAGATGAAAAGAGAATTAAATAAAGTTAGCTATAATTCCATCCTTTAGAGGTTTACTATGGTTAATATTTTGGAGTTAATTTCTTCCAACCTTTCCTATGCTTATATGCAGTGTACATTGCAATCATACACATTTGGTACAAAAACATGTGTATGTATCACAAGAGAGGAATAGTTGCAAACTTTAAAATTTACCAAGAATGGCAAAATGGTAATTGTTGAAGATAGGTGATGAAATACATAGGAGTTCATCATCTTATTCTCTCTATATTTGTACTTTGAAAATTTTTTATAAAACATAGAGTGCTTACTCTGTGACAGACTCTATGCTAAGCTCTTTATAATACAGTATTTTATTTTCACAAGTTGAAAAGTTTTCTTTTTTAAATATGACATGTCAACAAGTGTGTGGTCTTAATGATTGCATAGAAGTTCAGTCTGCCATTAAATGTACTATAATTTATGTAACCAATCCCTTGTTGCAGAACATTTAGTTTTTTACTTTTCCACTCTTGTAAATAGTGATTGTTGGGAGAACATCCTTATATAAACATTTAGGAGTACATGTTTACTTATTTTCTTAGGAAATGGCCCTAGAAGTGAAATTGCTGCATCAGAGTAGTTGTACATTCTTAAAGATTTTAACATATATTGTCAAAGTGCTCTCCAAAGATGTATTGATACAGACTTTCACCAGCAATATTTAAGAATGTCCATTTTCTCACACTTTTCAATATTAGACACTATTACTTCTTTTAATTTTCCCTACCTTTAGGCTTGTCTTTGCCAGTCTGTTGGGTAAAAAACAATGGTGTCCGATTATTCATTTTAATTTGTATTTCTTTAATTATGCATGAGATTGAACATTTTTTCATCTGCTTATGGCCATTTCCATTCTTTTGTAAATTGTGTCCTTTGCTCATTTTTCTTTTGGGATATTTCTGTTGTCTTAGTCTTTACCTCTTTATATAAACTTTAGAATCAGTTTGTTGATATCCATAAAGTAACTTGATGGGACTTGAATTCACAGTTCACATTGAGAGGAACTGACATCCAGACGATATTGAGTCTTCCTATCCGTGAACATGGCATACCTTCCTATTTATTTATGAAATCACATCATCTTTGATTTCATTCATCAGAGTTTTATAGTTTTTCTCATATAGACCTTGTACATATTTTGTTAGATTTATACTTAGTATTTAATTTTTAGGTGTTCATATAAATGATACTGTGTTTTAAATTCAAATTTCACATGTTCATTGTTGGTATGTAGGAAAGTCATTGACTTTTGTATGTTAACCAGGTGTCTGCAACCTTGCTATAATTGCTTATTAATTTCAGGAGTTCTTTTTATTGATTTCTTTTAGATATTCTACATAGATGATCATATTATCTGTGAACAAAGATAATTGTGCCTTCCTTCCCAATCTGCATACCTTTTATTTTTTATTTTTATTTTTTTTTGCCTTATTGCATTAGCAAGGACATCAGTGTGATGTTGAAAAGGAGTGGTGACAGGAAACAACCTTGCCTTTTTTTTCTTTCTTTGTTTTTTAATTCTCTTTTATTTTTCAATTACAGCTGACATTCATTTTTTTATTAGTTCCAGGTGTATAGTATAGTGGCTAGACATTTATATAATTTATGAAGTAATCCCCCCAATAAGCCTAGTACCCACTGACACTATGCATAGTTATTACAATATTATTGATTTTATTCTCTATGCTGAAGCTATACAGTTTTTATAGTCTTTATCAAGTAGAGAAAGTTTTTTATCATGAGAGGTTTTTTTTGTTTTGTTTTGTTTTGTTTGATGGTGCTTTTCTTATATCATGAATGGGTTATATTTTTGATGAGTTGATGCTTCATGTTTTTATGAAAGTAAAACTCAGTTTCATTTTAGTTTTCCTTATTCATTGATTATTCTTTTATCATTTCACTTTTACCTATTGTTAATCTGTGTTCCTAGGCTCAGCTTGCCAACCGGAAACAGAAATTAGAGTCTGTGGAGCTGTCCCGCCAGTCAGAAATTCAGCACCTGAGCAGTAAGCTCGAGCGGGCCAATGACACCATCTGTGCCAATGAGTTGGAAATAGAGCGCCTCACCATGAGGGTCAATGACTTGGTTGGAACCAATATGACTGTTATACAAGAGCAGCGGCAAAAAGAAGAAAAATTGAGGGAATCTGAAAAATTGTTAGAGGTGTGTTTTAAAATTACTATAATTGGGGAAATGTATGTATGTATGTTTCAAGAGAATAATTAACCTAGAACTATTTCAAAAATCTGGCTTCTTCCTTATTCTGTAGCGGATGGATCAGATATTGGTAGTCTTATTAATATTGTGCCTGTTAAAGAATTTACAGGCTGATTCCCTGGTTTCCTTTTCTCTTGAAATAGAAAAATTGTAATAACATCTGACTTTTTATCTGAGTATTTTGTAGGTTCTGCAGGAAGAAAAGAGACAGTTGAAGGCAACTCTTCATTCTCAAGAAAATGTCATCCATGAGACAAAAATGCAAAAGGAGACTCTACAAGCAAAATTAAGGGCAACCAACATTCAACAGACAGTAGAAGTCATAAAGTATATTTCATCTTAAATATTAATCCAGTTTTAATGTTGCATATTTACTAGTATAAATTTGTGTTTGATTATATTATGGGTTTTCTTAGTTTTAATTTCTGAGTTAAATTTTTATAAAATTTTGTGTGGTTAGTCTTTTCTGCCTTCAATTTGGGTCCATAACCTAAAGACTATGATGCTTAGAAAGTTAGGAACCGCTTGGTCAATCTGTACCCATGACCAAACTCCAAAGATGGAAGGAATTATAGGCCACATCTCTTGGAAGGCCTCCCTTCCTTGGTAGATGAGGTCATAATTATTAGCTGTTTATTATCGATAAGCCAGCTATTGAGATGGCCCTTTAAAAAAATTCTGAAACTGGTTTTATTTCTGAAATGAGTTACTGCTGTGAGTTTGCATTGGAAAGATATAGAAGCAGCGGTGCTCCTTTGGCGTGATTGAACTCTGGTGCATATTTCCGTTCTTGCCAGACTCTCCAGTATTCATTTTCTAGTTTCTTTGACTCACGGTATCAAGTGTCAACAAAGTGATTTTTGTCATTTTGTCTTTTCCCCTTGAAAATCAGGCCAAGTTGCAGTTGGGAAAGGAGTGAACTGCTGCCAACATTTTTGAGAAATATATCTCTTGCCTCTTTACTCCCACAGTGTCCTTTTCCTAAAGAGGAGACAAACTGGAATCCCAGAGAGTTTTAGTACCAAGAACAGTTGGGAAATGTGAACGTGTTGCATATTATTTTTGTTTGCAAAGATAAAAGGCCTTTAATAGTCCTCTTGTATTTCTCCATAGGTCATTGGAGGAATCTCAGACTGAAAGGCAGTACACCACGCATGATCAGGACTTAGACAACGTGCTCTCCCAGCTGGATTTGACCCACACCAGTGAGGAGCTTCTGCAGGCAGAGGTGACTCGTCTGGAAAGCAGGTGGATACTCGTATATACATTTCAGAAATGGCCAAGTCATTAAAAATGGTGTTGATCATCATATTGATAAAGTACTAATATAACAGTCAGTGAAAACACAATATTTTTCCCTCTAGCATCCACAAATGGCCTAACTTCTTATTTCTTTGAGAAAACAGAAGCAATTAAAGGAGAATTTCCTAATCTTTCTGCCACCAAATATACCAGTCTGCCTGCATCTGTGCCCATAATCTGTTGCAGAGGCTTAATTGATGGGTGACATGTCTGCTCCTAAGACTCCGCTTGTGTACTGTTCACAGTTTTTCTCTCCTCTTTTGCATCATAAAGTTCTTCATCTCTGATAAATAATTTTTCCAGTGGTATAAAATATGCTTTAATATTTCCTATCTTGGGGGGAAAATTTAAACCTTCCTTTAATCTTATATCCCCGTCAAGTTATTTCCATATTTCTCTGCTGTCTTTCAAAACCAAATTCTCAAAAGGGCTGTCTGTGCTGACTGTCAGTACTCCTCCACCTTCCACCTACGTGGAGCCCCTTGTGTTATGCTTTCCTCTCCACCAGCCAGCTCGTGGAACTGCCTTGGCGAGGCACACTGGACACGCGTGTTCCTTCCCTCTGTTCTGAAATGCTGTTGGCATTTCCCTGGGTGCTAATTTAATCCTGGCTTGTGTCATTCCATGCTCAGCTCACTTGTATCATTGTCACACTGGTGAACTCTTGTTTGTCATATCTCTAGACTTTTTGACTGGGGAGAGTTTGATATTTTATTTTAAACACGAATCATGGTCATTTGTACACTAACATTTTCTGTGTCTAAAAGGTAAAATATATAAACTATTAGCTTTTAGGCAAACATCAAAAAATTGTTGCTTTACCCTTTTAAGTTTATCTTTAAGTAAGACATTTCTTGTTTTTACTTTTATTTCTGTTTTTGGAAACCACCAAGTATTTTCTTTTTTTTATTTTTTATTTTTTATTTTTATTTTTATTTTTTTTTAATTAAATCTTTATTGCTCAGATTATTACATTTGTTCCTCTTTTTCCCCCCCCATAACTCCCCTCGTCCCAGTTCCCGCCCCTCCCTCCGCCCTCACTCCCCACCCACTGTCCTCATCCATAGGTGCACGATTTTTGTCCAGTCTCTTCTCGCATCTCCCACACCCCTTTCCCCCCCAAGAATAGTCAGTCCATTCCCTTTCTATGTCCCTGATTCTATTATAATCACCAGTTCATTCTGTTCATCAGATTATTCATTCACTTGATTCTTAGATTCACTTGTTGATAGATGCATATTTGTTGTTCATAATTTGTATCTTTACCTTTTTCTTCCTCTTCCTCTTCTTAAAGGATACCTTTCAGCATTTCATATAATCCTGGTTTGGTGGTGATGAACTCCTTTAGCTTTTCCTTATCTGTGAAGCTCTTTATCTGACCTTCAATTCTGAATGATAGCTTTGCTGGATAAAGTAATCTTGGTTGTAGGTTCTTGGTATTCATCACTTTGAATATTTCTTGCCACTCCCTTCTGGCCTGCAAAGTTTCTGTTGAGAAATCAGCTGACAGTCGTATGGGTATTCCCTTGTAGGTAACTGAGTTTCTTTCTCTTGCTGCTCTTAAGATTCTCTCTTTGTCTTTTGCTCTTGGCATTTTAATTATGATGTGTCTTGGTGTGGTCCTCTTTGGATTCCTTTTGTTTGGGGCTCTCTGCGCTTCTTGGACCTGTAAGTCCATTTCTTTCACCAGGTGGGGGAAGTTTTCTGTCATTATTTCTTCAAATAGGTTTTCAATATCTTGCTCTCTCTCATCTTCTGGCACCCCTATAATTCTGATGTTGGTACGCTTGAAGCTGTCCCAGAGGCTCCTTACACTATCCTCGCATTTTTGGATTCTTTTTTCATTTTGCTTTTCCGGTTGGGTGTTTTTTGCTTCCTCGCATTTCAAGTCATTGACTTGATTCTTGTGCTCCTCTGGTCTGCTGTCGGGAGTCTGTATAATATTCGTTATTTCAGCCCGTGTATGCTTAATTTCTAGTTGGTTCCCCAATATAACATCGAGGGTCTCATTAGTTTTCTTGTAGATCTCATTAAGTTTATCGGCGGCTTCTAAACAGTTCTTGAGAGACCTTAAAAGTGTGGTTCTGAACTCTATATCTTCCATTGACAATTTTGTCCTGTTTCTTTGTCTCCGCATTTTGTTATGCTTCCTTGGTGCACCCCCTAGTGGTCTTTGTGCGCAGTCTTATAGTTAAACCTTGATTGTTGTAGCTAATACCAGGGAGGGTTTGACCTCCAGGCCAAGTGGCTATCCCAAGTATTTTCTTTACATGTTAAGTATACATGCCCACACATATCCGTGGAGTTTTTACTTTATTCATATTTCACCCTGGAATACTTAGGATATTCCTGGTTATCATTCTTGAGGTGTTTATGTACCCTTTAGATTGAATAAAATAAATGAAATCTTATTCTTTTTGACAGTAGAACTAATTTGACATTTTGACTGTAGCTTTTCCATTGATTGGTTTCTGAGCAATCTGTTGCATTTACTCCGCTCTCCTCTTACTCTGATGTGCAGGGTGACCTGGGACACTTAGCCTCTGTAGGCCCCGACTTCCCCACCTGTACAAAGGACAAGGTGTCTCTGATCTCTCCAACTCAGTGTTTGACAGACCAAGTACCAAATAAGTGAGCACTCTAGGATTTTCAGAAATAGGTAAAACTGAAACTAATGGATACAAACACCAATGTTCAGTACTCAAACACTGGATTTAAAATTTTTTTTTTTTTTTGGTATCTAAAGGCAACTAGAAAAAAAGGAACCCTTTTAGATAGTTTGTGTTGTTCAGTCTGAATAAAATATTACTTAATTGGAGGACTTAAATAATTGTTTTTGTGTTGTTGAATTTTAAAGATTTTTTAAATGATAGCGTATCCGATAAGCTGGCTGTGTTGCTGGAACACTCTAGGTAGTTACTAAGCATTTATTGAACAGTCTGGAACCAACGATCCAGGTGCTGAGAGGATGGTGGGCAAAGCCAGAGGAAAATAAGAATAAAAAACATTATTTTAATCATAGAAGTTGTAGTTTGAGAGACAAAATATACATATTAAAGGACCTGAGAGCAATTTAAAATAGTAGATTTAAGTCCGGTCCCCAGTAGGGGGCATGCAGGAGGTAGCCAATTCTTTTTCATCATTGATATTTTTATCTCTCTCCTTCTCTCTTCCTCTCCGAAATCAATAAAAATATATTAAAAAAATAAAGTAGTAGATTTAAGGTAGAAAATGTACACATTCAAGCTATAGAAATGGAAAGTAGACTACATTTAAGGTGATTAGGGAAATGACCAGGAAAACGCTGGTCTGGTTCTTGAAAGGATGCTAACCATCCATTGCCAGGCAGCAGGGGAAGCTACTTCGTGGTCAAGGGGATGGTCTGTGCAGAGACAGGAAGTCAGGTGCAGCAAAGGGCACACAGCAGAGGGGAAGCCTGTTGACTCAGAAGGAAAAAGATTTTATTAGTAGAAATGTGCAGTGAGGTAAGAGAGGTATGGTGCCCATGAGGTTCCTATACCTGATGAGGGATTGATTCTTAAGTAAGGGTGACAGTTTGGAACTCTAAAGAAGATTTTTCTGACAGCTGTGTGTAGAATAGCATTGTAATTAAGTGTAGAGAGGATTTAGAGTATGATGGCAGCTCCTGTACAGCCAGAAAAGGAAAATTAGCTACAATCTTTAGCATGTTGTAACCAGTTACATTTTAAGCAGAAGGAAAGACTATAGGTAAATACAGAAATCAAAAGTATTTCCAGCCCTGGCCGATTTAGCTCAGTGGATAGAGCATCAGCCAGCGGATTGAAGGGTGCAGGGTTTGATTTCGGTCAAGGGCACATACCTCAATTGCAGGCTCGATCCCTGGCCCTGGTTCGGGTGTGTGCAGGAGGCAACCAATCGATGTGTCTCCCTCCCATCTATGTTTCTCTGTCTCTCCCCATCCCTTCCAACTCTAAAAAAAAAAAAGTATCACCAAAAGTTTGAATTGGATTTAGCTGCCTCAGGTGATAAGGAAATTGAAAATGAGTTTTAATTTGGGGTGGGAGGTGATGTTTGTGAACATGTCTTGGACATCAAAAAGGTAATTTAGATACTTCAGTTGGTGGGTTTCAGGGTTTTGTTTTATATATGTGATCCTATTTTTGTCATACAGCTTGGAATCTGTGAGTACAACATGTAAACAGCTGAGCCAAGAACTAATGGAAAAATATGAAGAATTGAAGAAGATGGAAGTACATAACAATGAGTACAGGGCAGAGATTAAGAAGGTAAAAATCTGCATGCGTGGGATCGCCAAGTTGTTTGTACTTATGGATTGAGTTCTGGGTTTCGGAGGTTGTAGGAGTTATTTTTAATAAGAGAAAAATGTAGTCTAAGGGGCCACTTGCTATTCAGGAGTAGATGGTAGTTATGGATATGTCGCTTCTCTGTGCTGACTGTAGTTAATATTCTTGTTAGCTGTTGAGGTGTGCAGAGCAGTTTGTGTCTGCAGTAATGGGCCCTGGCTGTCCTGTTTGTTGACTCAGATTTTTATTACTTCTTTGAGGTTACTTCTAGCCCTTCTTATCTTTCTATTATCGTCTATGGACCAGAAAACCATGTAAGCAAAATTTTTAGCTTGGTAGCTAACTAAAGAATGAAGGTCCCAGGTGCTGTCTTCTAAGTAATGTGTGCATAGGCTTTGATACTGGTTCTCAGTGTTTGAATAGGAGGGACAGTTGTATCCTGTTTTGAGATATAAGTGATTGTGGGTAGAACTAGCTGACCTTCAGTACAGATATGCAACCTGGTAAATTGCTAATTTTCTGCAGATTTAAGCTAGGAAATAATTCATGTCTTAAAGTAAGGTAAAAATTACCATATTATTTTAACTATTAATATATTTTTCAATCTATATGCTTTCTCTTAATATTTTATGCTTTCCTTTCTGTTTCTTTGTAGTTGAAAGAACAGATTTTGCAGGCTGACCAGAGTTACAGTTCTGCACTCGAAGGAATGAAGATGGAAATCTCCCAGTTAACCCGGGAGTTACATCAGCGAGATGTCACTATTGCTTCTGCCAAAAGTTCTTCCTCTGACATGGAAAAGCGACTCAAAGCAGAGATACAGAAGGCAGAGGAGCAAGCAGTAGAGCACAAGGTGACACTCCAACAAAACCTCATTTTACTTGAAGTTTGTTTTTGAAGAGTGAATTTATTAAAATTATAATTTCCATGGTATTTAATTCAGTAAATTTTTATTAGACACTTGCTTTGAGCTGAGAATATGCTGGGTAATGAGCATTCTAGGGATGACTGGTGGGGAGGTGAGACTTGACAGACAAGTGAGGAGGCTGTTGCTGTGGGGTGTGGTGAGAGTATGACATGTTCTCCGTGACAGACTAGAGTACAAGTGGGGCAAGTGACAGTGGAGGGGACTGGAAAGCAGGGGCTAGCTCCTGAAGGGTCCCGTCAGTCATGCTTAAGAGTTGGAGTGTCACCTTGAGTGTTGTCAGTAGAGAATGGCTTCAAGTAAGATAAAAGATCTCTGTGGTCATCGTGTGGAAGAAGCAAAGAGGCAAAGAGACCACCCAGATGTAGTTCTAATAGTAGAATGGTGGCCTGAGCAGTGGGCAAGGGAGGTAGAGGGAAAGGGATGAATTCTGGAGATATCTGGCTTTGTTTTTGATTGGATGGGGGTGGGGTGGTGTGGGTTGGGGGTGAGTTAAAGAAAGATGTCACTGGATTCCAGCTTGGGCAACTGAGTGGAAAGTGATGCTTCTTGGTGAAATAGAGAAAAGATAGCAAGCAGTTTGGGGGAGGATAATGAATTTGTATGAAAGGTATACAAAACAGGGAAGCTGGTAGAGGGGACATTGGTTTGGCACATTTGGCTTGTGATGAAGGCTGGACTTTCACGTGGAAATTGCTAATAGTCAATTCCACAGAGGGCCTGGAGTTCAAGATTAAAATCAGGATGAGACATTTAGCTGTGGAAGTCTTGGCATGAAGCTGGCATTTGAAACATCCTGAGAGACTTAGTGATTATAACGAGAAAGCATAGAGTATGAGGGGCAGAGACTTGAACCAAACTTAGGACATTACTCATTTAGGGTAAAAACGGTGTTGGCATGGAGCTAAAAAGAAAAAAAAGCAGCAATAAGGAAGGAAAGTTTCACTTAGGAAGCAGGAAGCCAAGGAAGGCAGGACTTTTTGGTCGAGTAGAAAAGCTGAGGAGAATGAGGACTGAAAATAAGGTATTATTTTATGAAAAGAATGCAGTGCATGCAATGTTGGAGGTAGAAGCCCAATCAGAGGAGGCTAACACAGGGAGGGTTAGAGCTCTGCTAGTGAATTGACTAATCTTCTTAAAATAATATTTTAATTACATGTATATTGATTCATCTTGAGACACCTTTAAAAATATTTTAAGAAAATATTTATATATTAATGAAGAATGTGACTTCACCTAATGAAAATTACACATGAAAACATTGTGTAAGATGTACTTGATTTGTTATTTCTGTGTATTCGTGTTTTCTGCTTTTTCCTTCTCAGGAGATTTTGAATCAGCTGGAGTCACTCAAGTTAGAAAATCGTCATCTTTCTGAAATGGTGATGAAACTGGAAGTGGGTTTGCATGAGGTACATAAATACAAACTTGAGTTTTTCTGCTACCCAAGCCTTTAAAGAAGTCACTTTGTAAATATTGATATTGTAAAGAGAGCTAAGATCAAATATGGAATGATCTTTCTGCAGAAACCTGCTCAAATATAGTGATGGAAGTGAGCCAAACTTGATTCTCTCCTCCAGCAACTGGAAGATACCTTTGATATTATGCACGTGTTAAAATACATATATGTATATAAAGGATTTAGCATAGTGCTTGGCATTTAGTAAGTACACAAAAAGTGTTAGATGCTGTTATTATTATAGTTATTATGTTCACAATATATTTTCATTATAAAGCATATCATCTTGTTAATAATTTAGTTTTAATTATATTTCTATAAGAAGGAATTAATTTAATCAAATATTCTAAATCTTTTATGTTCAGATCATTTTACTAGATGATGACACAAGGACGAATAAGAGGATTCTTCTCTTTAAGACAGGGGTGGGGAGCCTTTTTTCTTCCAAGGGCCATTTGGATATTTATAACATCATTCATAGGCCATATAAAATTATCAACATAAAAATTAGCCTGCTATATTTGATCAAACATTTAATTAACTTACCCCAATGCCTTGGTAGGGCCAGACCAAATGATTTCGTGGGCCCTATAGGGTCCGCGGGCCAGACCTTCCCCACCAAAGCTTGAGATTGAGAATAGTCTAGTAGGGAGATAAGAAATGTGTACCAGCTCCTATGAAACCAGACAGAGCATGATTAACTAACAGTGAGTTATAAAATGTTAATGCTTTTAACTATTTTGTTATAAATTCTTATAACTTGCAAAATGACCCATCTATTCTAACCCATCTTTTTTTTAATATAGGTCAAACACTCAAGGACTATAGAAATCCTTTTTTTTCCTGTACTTCCAAGAGAATACATGCCTCCAAAGATGCATAGTTACTCAATACCCCTATTTGCTCTCATGTAGTTCTAATTTCAAAATTATGGATTATGGGGGCTGGGTGGGAGGAAGTGCAACACACTAGATGACCACTTTATTTCAACTAAAAGAAAATATGGGGAACTATTTTTATAATCTTTCGGGAGGGTAAGAGTCTCTTAACATCATGAAACCATAAAGAATTTACAGTGTAAGGAATTTTACAAAATAAAAATGTAAAATTTCTGGGTGGCAAAAGATCCCATTAAAATAAAAGACTAATAGACTGGGGAAAAGAATCTATAAACAGACAGATGGTTAACATAAAATATTAATATATAAGGATTTCATACAAAGATAATAAAAGATAATTCAGTAGAAAAATGATCAAAGGACATAAATAGATAATTCATAGAATACAAAAATCCAGAAAAAAGGAGAGCTGTTCAACCTCCCTAATAATCAAAACAAAATAAATAAATATCCTATTGCTTATTGGATTGACACTGATGTTTACAAACTAATTAATATAGCCAGTGTTGGCAAACACACAGGGAAGCAGGGCCCTTTCATGCTCTGTTAATGAGAAAGTGAATTGATGAAGCCTTTCTAGGAGGCAATTTAGCAACATCCATCAAACTTATAAATATATATAGCCTATATATCGATTTGTTGCCTCCCGTATGAGCCCGCACCAGGAATGGGATCCCAAGTCATGTGCCTTTCTGAATGTGATAGTTATTGCTAAATAATTCCCCAGAAAGGTCCTATCAGTTTTCATTCCCAAAGTACCCATCCTATAGGAGCAAATGTGCAGAATTGGTCATTTTATTGTTGTTTGCAATACCCAAAAATGTGAAATAAACTAAATGTTAATCTATAGAGGGATGGTTAATTTGTGGCTTCCTATACTATGAAATATTATGCTGCCACTTAAAGTAGCAGATGAAAATATGCCTCTAATCTTGCTCCCTCCTCCTAGCCCTCTAAAACGATAATGAAAGGAATTACTTTAAAGCACGAACTTAACAAGATGGTAAAAATAGGAAAGGAGACAAGAGCTAAATATCTTGTGCGGGGGAAGATGAAGGGAGGGATGGAAATGACTTTATATGCCCCGATAAAGCCAGTACTCAGCTAGCCGTGGAGAGAGCCCAGAGCTTACTGGTTTATAACACAGAATCTTCAGAAGGCCCAGGAGTTGGCAATAACTGATTGATAGGGTCTTCTCTCATGCAGTGAGGACCTGTTCACATATGAGTTGGGAACTCTCAGGGGCGCTTAAGCCTGACTATGACCCGAGCTTCTGCTCAGCTCTGTTTCTCTGAGACCTCCACCGAACAGTGGTGGCACCGCCCTTTCTTTATCCAGCCAGGTGTGTGCTTGCCACAGGTTTTACATTGCCTTTTATGTTCACTTATCTGCAATTGTTGTTAATAAAATAAAATTTGGGAAAACTTAAAAAGATGCCTGGCAAAGGCTAACATTATCTTTTTTTAAAAAAAGTATATTTGATGACATCAGACTCAGGTGGTGACAGTGCTGTCACAGTTTAAATTCCCTCTGGTTTTGAGGTTACACACAGTGGGAATATGTTGTACATATTAAGAATAGTTATTACAAAGTGTCTTTTTGTATTTTACCACCTGGGAAGGCAGAATTGCTTTTACAAATGAATGTTTGGGTTAAATAACTATTTTTTAAAGATTTTTTTATTGAATTTGAGAGAGAGAAACATCTATGTGAGAGCAAAACATGAAGCATCTGCCTCCTGCATACCCCCTGCCGGTGATTGAGCCTGCAACCCAGACCAAGAATCAAACTGGCAACCTTTGGGCACGTGGGACGATGCCCAAGCAACTGAGCCACACTGGCCAGGGCCTATTTTTTTTTTTAATCCTCACCCAAGGATAGATTTTTATTGATTTTAGAGAGAGAGGAAGAGAAAGGGAGAAAGATCGAAACATTGATTGGTTGCCTCCCGTGTGAGCCTGGACCAGGAATCAAACCTGCGACCCTTATGTGCATGGGCCAATGCTCCAACTAACTGGCCACACTGACCAGGGTTAAATGACTATTTTAGTAAATCAATTACCTTAATGAAAACAATAACTCTGGTAAGTAAATTATTTACCACATCTTAAAATAGTTTTAAGTTTGCAGTTTTGACAATAGTATGCAGTTTAAATCACGTGTTCTGCAAATTCTTTTAGGGGGTGGAATTTAACTGGCATTGATAATTTATTGAAAGATTTTGTAACTTATTGTCACTAGTGGTACACAGATAGATAAAAGGTTGTATTTTAAAGTTTATGCTTTAGTTAGGTAAATTCTGTATGTCAAACCACTCTTGATCAGTTTATTTTCAAAAAATTCTTTACAGAAAAGACCAAGCTAAACGTTGTATCAAACTCCAGAGATTACCGTAATTTTTCAGACTACTAATGGAAATATTTTGTCATCAGGAAAAAAAATAGTCCAGACACTCCCCCCCCCCCCCCATGCAGGTACTGTGTTGCCAGGCAATAACATTTATGATCAAAACTCAGACCAGATCAGAGTAGTAATTCCCAGTTTGTAGTTGAGTGCTGCTTTATCATATCCAAATATATTTCACACACAAGATTAGGTGCCAATGTTATATAAAAATATCTAAGGCTAAAGAGTATTTATTTAAAGGTTGTCCCTGCTGGCCAGAATTCCTTTTTGGAAACTTGTGTTCAATTTCTTTCTTTCCGTCTGTCTCTTTGTTCTCAATATTCTTCCACAAGAGTTCCAGGGCTATTCAACCTTCTCTTTCTTTTTTAATGTATTTTTATTGATTCCAGAGAGGAAGGGAGAGGGAGGGAGAAATAGGAACATCAGTGATGTGAGAGAGAATCATTGATTGGCTGCCTCCTGCACGCCCCCTTCTGGGAATCGAGCCCACAATCCTGGCATGTGCCCTTGACCAGAATCGAACCCAGGACTCTTCAGTCCACAGGCTGACGCTCTTTCCAGCCAAACCAGTGAGAGCCAACCTCTTTCTTGAGGAACCCTTGACTGCTATCTTGTTTTTTCTGTTTCTGATTCTCACCTGGAGCTTTCCTCCCTGCTAGCTCTGAGCCTTCCTCTACCTGTGCATATTCCTGACACAGCAGGAAAGCCCATTGTGCTCCAAGTGTGCATCCATTTACTGCAAGAAACAGAACCCTTTTCTCTCGTAGTCTCAAGAGAGCCAAAAGAAAATCTTCACTTTTTCCACGGAAAAGGTATAGATGAACTAGTTACAACTAAAAAGAAAGTAATTTTCCACTGGCAGGGATATCACAGATCACAAGTATTCTTATACAAATTAAGTGACTCTAGTATTCTTTTTTATTAGGCAAAAGGGATTTCACTAGCAGACCTCCAGGAGAATTATATTGAGGCATTAAATAAATTGGTGTCTGAAAATCAGCAACTACAGAAAGATTTGATGGATACCCAATCTAAGCTGGAGATTTCTACTCAGATGTGCCAAAAAAACCATGACATGCTTTTAAAACCGACACACAGCAGAACACCTGGGTTCAAGAATGCAGAGTTCAAGTAACATTTCTTCACAATCTATTAAAAATGTTTATCATTGTGATATAATTCTCATTTCTTTGAGAATTCTGACTTACAGATATTAAATCTTCAAAGGGCTGTATGTTTAAATCTGAAATACAGAGTGCACCAGTAAGGCTACTGTCAGGTTAAAACATGGAGGGGGTTTTAGAGCGCTTCCATAGGTATAAACAGCATCCTTCTTCCCCTGAGCCTTTCATGTTGCCTGCCACCTACCTCCCCAGCCCCACTTGCCCTATAAGTTGGCTTTTTAGAAAAAGCTTGCTTTGTATTTTTGGTTAGTTATAAGCTGTTACCATAAGTCAGCCTTCAATGAAAAACCACCTGGCTTCCAGCCTTTCTACATGGTTTACATATTTTCTTCCCCAAAGCCTTTGCTGACACCTTCATTGCTCTAACCCTCCTTCATCCCAGATAAGGGTAGGTGCTTTCTTTTTTTCTTTTTTTTTTTCAATCCTCACCTGAGGATATGTTTTTTTGTTTTTTGTTTTGTTTTTTTGTTTTTTTTTGAGAGAGAGAGAGAGAAACATCGATGAGAGAGAAAAACATTGATTGGTTGCTTCCTGCACGTGACCTGACTGGGGATCAAACCTGAAACCTAGGTATGTGCCCTGACCAAGAATTAAACCCACCACCTTTTGGTGTACGGATGACACTCCAACCAACTGAGCCACTTGGCCAAGGCTAGGTGCCCTTCTTATGTACACAATACCTCCCCTTGTCCTGGCACTAACCACACTAGGTACTCTGGCAACTTGCTTGCCTTCCTTGCTATGTTGTAAGTGTGTAAGGGCAGGGGCCTGGCAGTGGGGATTGGGCATTTGGAACCTGAATGAGTGAAAACACCTGCTTATTTTACAGCCTTATCTAATTAGCCCTCTATTTTAAGTGAACTTCCTACAACATTTCTGTTTTAAATGAGAAAAATTGCTCCAATTTTTACTTTTGTTTCCTAATCTGCTATCCAGGCCATCCCATGGCCAGCACAGGCATGATGGAATGAACACTGAGCACTACAAAGCAGGTCTTCATTCTGCACGAGGACACACGCCACATAGGGTAGAGCCCGTGGCCAGGGCCCTCAGCTCTGTGAGCTCTCACCTGAGCCCTTCCAGCTCCTGCAGCTCTATGCCTTCCAACTTTCTGTACAAAGCCCACTCGTTGCCTTCAGTGCTAGATTCAAGTGAAGTCCTTTTTTCTGACACTATCTCTGAGAGTGTGAATGACCGAGAGGCATCTATGTGTTCGGTATGGAAACTTCCTGATCTTCTTAATTTATTAAGGTTACTTAGTTTGATTTTATCTTTTATTTTAAAGGGGAATAGTGTGATATGTTTTCATTTTGTTTTGTTTCTTACTGGTTCTCTATCTTAAGTCCTAATACCCTTTATTATTCTCATGTATTTCTGTCTGACAGTTTTGCTTATGAAGACACATTCAGCCATGATTACTTTGCACAATACATCTTCATTCTGAAATATAAGTTCTAGATATTCATTTGGTTTTACCCTAATTGGAAATTCCCTTCCTTTCTTTTTTAGAGAGGGTCAGTTTGTATTGGAACTGTTGGTTTAAGGAATACCTCTGGATGGCAGGATAGTCCTGAGACAGACAGTGAAGCAGGGAAAAGGACCTGTTGGAAAGGGCGAGGGGGTGGGCAGGGGTGGAGGAAGGAATTGCATCTGACGTGTCAGAGCCACACAGTGGTGGCCCTGCCGGCAGAGGCTGCCCTCTGACACTGTGCAAACGCTGGCACCGTTTTTTGCCTTCTGTACTGAAGCACTGGCCTTGGCCCATTCATTCCCATCATCGGTTTCAAAACAAATCCCCACTTCACCTCTATGTAATTCTGAAGTCCAAAACAGTCCTGAAACCTAACTTTCTTACCGAGTTTGGCAGCAGAACTACTAGGCACTAAAACCTGACCTGAATTGATGTAATGTGGTTTTCTTTGTCCCATTAGCATTTGACTTCAGCAATATCAGTGTGTTTGATTATAGAATGTTACCTCAGACCACTAGGGAATACAGTCCGTCTCATTAGTCACAGATTCGGTATTTGTGAATTTGCCTCCTTGCTTAAAATATTTGTAAACCCCAGTCAATAGTAGTTCTGCCACCTCACTCGTGGACCGGAACAGAGCTGTGACAAATCTGAGTGACCTGACTTGCACATTCCCAGCTGAGGTGGCCACGGCAGCCCCACCCTCTTGCTTCAGCTCTCCCTGCAGCGCACGGTAGCAGGAAGCTCGGGCCCAGGGAGTAGGGTTTGAGTCCCAGCACTGGCATCCTTAGTGGGCTGGCCTCCAGCAAGTCCCTAACCACTTCTGAGCTCATTTTGTAAAATGAAAGTAGACTCTACCAGGATCAGTTGTTTTTAGCATGATAATCCGTATGAGGTGTGTGTGTGTTTCCCCAGGGGCAGTGATTCTGAATTCGCCAATTCAATTGCTTGAGGTGACTTTATAGAAAACAACTGTTGCTGATGAAGCTCTATTGCGTGTGGCCTGTGTTTCCTTTCTAAAGTCTGAGCTCTGAACTATCACTGAGCCCCAGGGGTCAAACAAGGGACTGCGGACAGAAATTTTGGAGGAGGCAAAAATAATTGGTTTTAACTAGTGTCTAAGATATTACAGGTAGATATTCTGTTCTATGAAGTGAAAGTAACATATTCAGAGTTTAAAAGTGGGTTTGAATTACAGGCATTAGTGTATTTTCTTTTGGGGTAAAGAGGATGTACAAGTCTAAAATGAGACATTCTTCGGACCAGCAATTAACATCTTATATAACACTTTATACTTATACAATTTGGGTCAGAACGGAAGAAATCTGCTAATTTTTGCAGAACTATTTTTTTAGAAATATTCTTGTCATTAGGATAAAAATAAAAACAATCTACTAAGAGGAAGAAATGTTCTTTTAAAAATCACCTCTTAATATTGCTAGTTAGAAAATATCATGCAGAACGTGTCTTAGAAACAGATTATTCCACTTATGTATGTCAAAAATCTGCTTCTCCTCTAGTGTACCTCGCCTGTGTCTCCCCTGGGTTCAATAGCTACAAGGTTTTTGGAGGAGGAGGAACTTCGGTCTCATCATATACTCGAGCGTCTGGACGCCCACATTGAGGAACTGAAGAGAGAGAGTGAAAAGACAGTGAGACAATTCACAACCTTAAAGTAGCTTCTTCAGGAAAATCACAAACTTG